CTCTCTCTCTCTCTCTCTCTCTCTCTCTCTCTCTCTCTCTCTCTCTCTCTCTCTCTCTCTCTCTCTCTCTTTCTCTCTCTCTCTCTCTCTCTTTCTCTCTATTATTGAGTCTTGCAAAGGGACTTAACACCTCTCATACAAGGAAATACTAAGTGAGCTGAGGCTGTTTAGCCTGGAGAAGAGAAGACTGAGAGGAGATGTGATCAATGTGTATAAGTACCTGAGGGGAGAATGTAGGGAGGAGGGGGCCAAACTCTTCTTGGTTGTGGCCAGTGACAAGACAAGGTGTAATGGGTACAAGTTGAAACACCCCAAGTTCCTCCTCCATGTGAGGAAAAACTTCTTTCCTGTGAGGGTGACAGAGCCCTGGAACAGGCTGCCCAGGGAGGTTGTGGAGTCTCCTTCCCTGGAGATCTTACAAACCCGCCTGGATGCCACCCTGTGCCCCGTGCTCTGGGTGTCTCTGCTGGAGCAGAGGGCTGGACTAGGTGATCTCTAGAGGTCCCTTCCAACCTCAACTGTTCTGTGATATGTCAAAATAGTAGAAAAGTCTCAAATAGACCACTATTTTTCAGAGAGGAAAGATCATTTTGGAAAGGAAAAGCTAAAATGTGTCACTATCTTGAGCTGGGAACAATGTAACCAATCTGCTATGTGATCTAGACTGTAGATGGAACTACACATCTCCATCTGCTCTCTATCTGCTTTTGAGTTGTCCGTGTATAACAGCTTTAGTTACTATTGCTGCTTATGTAATTGAATCCCTAAAAGAATGCTGAAAGTCTAACTATACACTGCTTTTTTGTACGTTTATTCTTTTACTGACAGAAAAGTCTATCAATGTCTATCAGAAAGCACTGTGTATCTGCTAACAGTTTTAGCTATGTAATGTTTGTTTAGGTCCTGTTTGAAAATGTGAAAACTACCTATTCCGAAAAGCTGAAGTGTGATGTTTTTTCTTTCCTTGCTAAATATATTTTCCCATAAACATAACTGTAGTGATACTGAGAAACTTCTTAAATTCATTCTGTATGTTAGTGGGACCTGCTGTGCTCCCACTCACTTCGTGGGACCTGGTTGCTTGCTTTTTTTTTCTTTTTTTTTTACACCGGGTTAAGTATCTCTGAGAAGACTGAAATCTCTGTGGTCACAAAACTTTAATCATTTGTTTGTTTGTTTTTAGAATCCAAAATGATTGAAAAGCATGGAGGATACAAATTCAATGCTCCAGTTGTGCCAACTTCATTTAATTTTGGAGGCCCTGCCCCAGGAATGAATTGAATTATCACTTTTCCTGCTACTGTGTGATTGTAGTGAAGAGCTTGTGTTCCTCCCAATAGTGGTTCCAGAACTGGTTCATGTTATCTACAGCTCACTCTAATTGATAAATAGATTGGACAAAAGCCCCAGAAGTGGGACCTGATCATGCAACCTAATACTGGAAAGCAAACCAGAGGTGGTTTTTTTTTTTTTTGAAGATAGGAAGAATCTGATTTTAAAGCTTCAAATGACACACTTTGGAAATCTGAAATCAAGAGGGGATGTCATGAAGGCAGCTTTTCTTTTTCTGAGGAAAAAAATAGGCATGGGCTGCAGGACTATTTAAAATGTCTCATTTACAGTACAAGGTAGAAGGCAGACTTAATTTTTACACCTGTGGCATATGAATATTTGCCCAATTTATTTCCCTTTTCTCCCTTCCTATTGGGTGTCTATTCTTTTAATGTAAATAAGATAAGGTAATCAGATAGCCTTACTTAATCTTCATCATTTCCATTTATCCAGATTGTTCATATGTAGAATATTGGACACTTAATGTAGCACTACATAACTGAGAAATCTGTAAATGAATTAGCACTTTCATATTGAAACAAGCCTGCTAGCCTATGTACGAAAATAGCAAAATGTTTGCTGTTTATTAAAAAAAAAAAAAAGGATGTATTGGGGAAAATAATTTCAAGTTATTAATTTAAAATGAACTAGCAGTTTTGTACCTGGTGACTTTGTGGTGCAGTCACCTCTGGTTGTGACTTGAATTCGGTTATGTAAAAAGGGGTTAGTGATATTTCATTGCTGCTAAAAAAGAAAAAAAAAAAAAAGAAAAAGAAAAAACAAATAGCAACACCCTCTGTCTCCTTTGTTTTTCTTAAAGATCTCATTGTACATGTGGAAATTTGGATACGAAGATTCGTTGTAAGCACTGAGAAAGTGTTACCTTCTCTGAAGCATGTAACTTAGATCTTAAATTCTGCTCTTAACGGAGTTGATTGAAGTATGTAGATGAAACATCTATATATGCAATCTACTTTAAAAAAAAAAAAAAAAGCCCTTAATTTGGCAAACCCAGGCTTGATCTATGAATGCAGGTGTTTTTTCCCCAACTTTTTTCCCAACTTCATATTTTTTGTTGTTTTTTTGTTTACCCCAGCACCTTGTTCAGTAGGTGCCCTACTCTTGCGTTTCATTTCTCCTCTTACTGCACTCCCAGCATTAGTGTGTACTATTGTCTGCCTGATCCAGACAGTGTAGTTGAAGTTTTGCCATTTTTTCATATTTGAAGCCACCGTTTTCTTCCTTCAAAATTGCTATAGTAACTAGTATTTTAGCTAGAGAGGCAAAATACAGTTCCCTCTGGGACCACTATCAAAACCACTGTATGAAGAAGCCAGCAGGGAGATGCTGTGAATAGGTTGGCGTAAGTGCCGCCTTTTTCTTTTCTGAAAGTATAAATTCATAGGTATTGATCTTGCCTTGAGATCATTGGTGTCAGGTCTTTTAAATCAAATGTTTTTTTTTCTTTTGGCTGTTTTTATATAAAAATGTCACCTGCTGTTACAATTGATATTAAACAAGCTACCTTAATTTAATGTAAGCCTCCAAAATTTAAATACAGGTTAAAAATAAACTGAGTTTATATCTGTAAAAAATGAAATGCACATATATATATTATGATACTCAAATGCAGTCTTCAGAAAATTGGTTTGTGTGGTGTGTTTTTTTGCCTCAGCAGAGTAGCAGGAATGTGTGGTTTGGGTTTTTCCTTGATGAGTTGTCCAGCACAATTCCCAGCCTTCCATTTGTTATGCAGTTCCTAGTGCCCTTCCAGGCAAATATAACACGTTTTTCCAGTCGCTCCTGTCTGGACTGCCTTCCTTAGGCGAATACGTCTCCCTGCACACAGTCTGAATGTGCTAGACTGAGCCAGGACTGTTACTGCCATGCTGTCCTACCTGAATACCAAAGGGATACTTCAAAGCAAATAGTGGGCTCAAAAGGATGGATGGTGCACCTGATGTGAAACAGCGCTAAGAACTAGCCTTGAATCTGAGTATCCATTACAGTAGTGGTATGAGAACCACAATAGTACTTTTGAATTGTTAGCTGACTGGCCAAGTCTATAGAGCAGGACATTTTTTTTTTAATATGTTAACTCATGAGCACGTATGTGTGTGTTCTGGCCTCAAGATAATCTCTAGACAACGTTTTATTTTTGTAGAAAAAGGTGACATAGGTACAGCATGCATTTTTCTTGTGCATTCCTTGACCTTGGAAAGCACCCAGTTTTACATAAGTCATTTCTGATCATCTACTTGTTGCATAACTGCTTATCTTGTTATGCATCCCAAAAAATTAAGATTAACTTTTTAAGACAGAACTTTTGCCTCATGGTAAAAGATATGACAGAGCAGCAGTGAGAAGGCTGTATATCCTCAACAGATGAGGAAAAAAAATAGAAAATAAACAATTTAGTGCCATGGTCATTCTGAAACAGTTATATTTTTCAAGTTGTCAGGCAAGGAAAAAAAAAATTATCTTCATGTGAGAGGAATAGAGTCTTACTTCAAGGGTGCTTTTATGTGTCGCTAGACTGGTTGACAAGGAGCATCTTTTTTTTAAGAATGGAACTAGAACTCTGCTTTCCTTTGCTCCAAGAAATGTATTTATATAAATTGCAAAACAATTTTGCATTGTTGTTGGTGGTAATAGTGCATTTTGTGATGCAATATATCAGTTTCAGTGATGCACTTATGTCAAACTTAGAACTGATCTTCCTCCTGGAACTTGCATTTATCCAATTCCATTTTTCAAGGATAATGCACCTCTAAAGGAAGAGTTGGGAAATTAAAACCTCTGTTTTTTCTATTATGGAAGATCTCCTTGGATTAATAAACATCTAAAGCAAATCCTTATCTTCACTTATTTCAGTGTGTTGTTTGAATGCAGCTGTATTCTTATAGTACATGGGCTTCCTGTTCTACTTAACTCCAAAGATTTGTACTTTCAAGTATTTCTTCAAGGAGAGATTTTTGGGCACAACCAGAGCTCTCAATTACTAATACCAAGTGTTAGATACAAAAGTCTAATGTTGTAACTTTTTAAATGTTGGTATAAGATCAGTATTTTTCCCACTCAACAACTACTTTCAAAGATCTTAAGATAGTACTTATTGAAGTGTTAATTTGGTATAATACAGCAAAGCTGTGTCCAAATCTATGGTAACTAACCTAGTTACAAATCTAACTCTGCAAGATTCAAGATGCCTTCAGAAGATTAATTACAGAATATCTGATTATAAACACGTAGGTGTTTTTTTAACTGCTCAGGTATCTCTTGATATCTGATAGTAAGTTTAAGGAATTATATTAAAATTTTCCTGTGACTGAGTAGCAGGTATGAAGAGTTAGAAACCTTAGTAATCTTCTGAGTATCTTTATTATTGCATGCTTCTGTCACGTTCCCTCTCAGTCCTGCCCCATACCTGTTTTCTCTATTGCTAACCATTTTCAGTTCCTGTGCCTGGATGACCCCTGGGATACGGCTTCCCTGGGGTACTGCTCAGAATATATACTTGGAATACATTATACTTGGGCCTTCTGTGACATGAGTATAAACACCCTGATGAAAGACTCCCTCCTTCCGCGGGAGTCTTGGCACCCACTTGGATTTATGCTCAGGGACAAACCCAGTCATTCTAAGGGAAATCAAGGTATCCAAGGGGCCAACTCAATAGCAGATGTTTAAAAAAAAAAAAAACGTAAGGAATGATTGACATATCTAGCTCAATATTAGTTGTAGACCCATTTGTCTATGTACAGATTTTGATTTACCAGCTTTTGTTCAGATATGTTGGCGGAAAAGGCCTTCCCAATCTCATGACTTGATTCTTTTCTTTGGTGTATGACCACCACCATATTCTGGGTAGATGAATTTCTGAAAAAATATGTAGCATATGAGCATTTTTTTTAATAAAATAATCTAAAAATATGACTGTTGCATCTAGAAGAAACCTGAAACTATTAAAAAAATAAATTGAGCTTGCAGGCTCTGTGCTGTGCTGCTATGGACTGTAAAAACAAGAGACTTGTGTTCCTTGAGCCTCATTTTTCCCTTTCCCGATTCTTGTGGTACCTTCCAAGGATGTTCAACCACACACCTTACAAAGGTTCATTTGTCTGCTATTGTGTAGACCAGTTGTAAAGTGCTGTGCAATGAAGGAGTGGTATTGAACTTGAGAGTCCACCTGCTTGCACTGCCTTTTGCTTTTTACAGCCACACATTCCCAAAGGCTGATGCAAGAAATGGAAAAGGCAGCTCAAAACTGGGAAACTGAGCGGAGGTGATAGATACAGGGAGCAATCCCTCCTGAAGGAGTGGGCTGGTGGTGCCCCCCTCGGCCGCAGTCCTGGTGCTTGGACTGAAGGGATGGCTCCGATTTGTATTTTGTGTGGAAGTTGCTTCTTAAGAAAACCTGAAGCTACACAAGGAAAATGGCTTGTTGTTCCTGTGCTTAAGGGCTCCTCAGGACTGATCTGTTTTTTGTCTTTTTCTACACTTGCGAGGGCTTAAAGCTCGTCGTTTCCAGCAAAAAAAAAAAAAAAAAAAAAAATCCTAAATGACAATAAACCTGTCATGTTCAAACATGTCAGACTCTGTAGCATATTACCGGGTCAACGTTAGCAGCTCACGTTAATTTTGCTTCATCATGGAGATTAGTTTTTTAAAGGACTCTCCACTGAAAACCCCCAGTTCCCCCTAGTTGGTCCGAATCAGGTGCAGACAAGCGTACGCTCAAGCGCTGCTTTAAAAGCGCAGCCCTTATCTGCCCGGGGCCAGCCGAAGCGGTGGCGGCAGATAATGCGCCGGAGGCAGCCGAGGCCAGGGGCGGCCCTGCCTCAGCGCCGCGTCGCTCCCGGGGCGGCCGTGCCGGGCCCCGCACGGTGCCGCGGAGCAGCAGCCCGCGGGGAAGCCCCGCGCCGCTCCCCTGGCCTCGCCGCCGCTGCGGCCCGAGGGCTCGCGGCGGCCCCAGCGCGGAGGCCATCGGCGCCGCCGGCTCCCTGCCCGGAGCAGGAAATGGCGCCCCGCTCCCTCGCTGACGCACGAGCGCCTCACCCCCGCGGTACAAAATGGCGGCCGCGGCGGCCCCGAACCCAGCATAGCCGGCGCGCCGGGCGGGGCCCCGGGCGCTTGGCCAATGGGCACCTGCGCGGGGCCC